GCTTGATGTATTTTGTATAACTATGGTAGCGATGTATCAACGCGTTAGAGAAATGTATGAAACTGTAATGACAAGATGTCGGTAAACTAGGTTCTAGCGTATTTGAAATGACGAACTCCAAGTGACTTAGAACATCGGCTCATAGTGTTCGTATAGTTCCTAACGCGAGATCATGTGTTTGTATGTCAGGTTACCATTTTGAGGATACCTGTCTGAACCATTTTGTAATTACACGAGTGAGCCCTGTTATTACACTCAGTATCTGGTCAGTGCATTGAAGGTGGTTATCAACAGTCAGACATTCCTTAAGTGTAAGACATCGCTGGTGTTTTGCTGTGTGACAAGGTTGATTCTTCGTTGATAATATCTACAAATCGAAACGAGTACTCGTAAATTCTTGTGACCCCTTGTGACATTGACGGAAATAATTTCGGTCTGTTGAAGATTATATACTTCTCATCAAAAGTTTAGACTCACTTAAAACACTCACTATATGTTATGTATATATATATATGGTTAAAACAAAGATTGATTTCTCCACTAACTTGGGGGAACCAATTGCAAACCTTATACAGATGAATTGCATGAGGATCATGCATCAAATTGCTGAAAAGCATGTGCAAATATCGTGCATGTGAATAGCTGCGTTTTTGGTGTAAAGTTTTGTTAAGAATTCGCCAATTTTCACTGATTTTTATGATTTATTGAACTCATGACAGTAATCTTTTCAGCGTTACGAATTTGTTTTACAATACATCAGTTCATGTGTAAACAGCACCTTTAAACATTATGGAATATTTTGCAAACTTTAGTTTAGAACAGTTGCCTGAAGTAAGTGGCTATATTTACACCAGTGAGTCTAAACTTTTGATGGGAGTTATATATAATCCGTTCGCTGTTGGAAATACCTGTAGTATGTAGCTGGGGATTAGTCATATCTGTGTGTTCGTTATTGACGCGTTATACGGCACTTCTGTGTATGGACAACTAGTTGATGTACCCTCACAACCCCAGCTCAACCAGGGGCATATAAGGCAAGATGTAAATGGATGTGTTGCACAACAAGACATCTCCAAGCTTGTACCGATTTGGTGAAAACATTTAACTTTGCCTAACACCGGAATTGCACAAAAAGATTCTGGGAACATTCCAGTCACAACTTCAAAGGTCTTTCATTACATGTCGCTTAGGACAGATGCTCTCGAAACAATGAACGTAAACCATTAATAGCTGAACAACATACCTTCATTAATAGTTTCCTATTAACATAGAACATACATCAAAAATAATATGAAGTAAGTTATTTCCCATTACCGATTAGCGAACCTCAGCTAAGATGTTTTCCCAGAAATGCTGTCTGTTACAGAGCTATGTCGACTGTCTGGGTCACTGTTACCCCTGGAGGAGTTTAAAACATAATTCCCTCCCAACATCCATCTGGGGCATGTCCAGTATGAGAAATACCTATGGAATATAAATGTCTGTAGCAGCCGCAACTAGCATTCTCCATTACTCTTACTTGAGTCGCGGGTGGCGGAACTAGATGTACTGCTATTGAGTTGCGTCCCATGATCGCGCTTGGATTCTAGCTGGTTGTGGTTTCTGTACTGTTAACACTATGCCCATGTTTATTTGTATCACGGAAGTCACTTTAGGATTTCCTACTATGTTCACGCTGACACTCTGGGACAGAACTTAGAACTCAAATTGGCCTGAGGCCCAACTCAGTCTCTACTGCTGGTACTGACGAACCACGTGGTCTTTCTTCCAACTGCTGTAGGAAAAGTTGTGTTTATGTCTAGGAGAAGACGTACCTATTGAGTCCCAAATTTTGAGGTCACCGTGACGTCATAGCGTCCCCAAGTGACCGGAAAGTCATAGCTTCCCTTACAGGTCTGCAGATCTTTTCAGCGGGAGAAAGTTAAAATATCAGTAGAGTTGGGAGTAACGCGGGTTTCATCAGTACGGTATTCAGTTAGAATGAATATTACACAGATACTCCGAGCAACATTACAACATATTCAGTAAACTGCTGCTGATTATTTGTTGTTGTCGACAGTCCGGGTATAAACCGCTTTATTTCAGTAGCCGGTTTGATAGAAGAAGTTACATCGTCGTTATGTAACTGTGAAATACTCCCACCGGGCACACGAGCAGACGCGAGAGTTCGGAACAGATTTGATTACTGCCAAACCTTAGTGAGTCGGTGAAGGGAAACGATTAAAAAATGTAAATGACACATAATGAAAAGTGCACATAGAGATTGTTTTCTGGTTGGGCTACACTCTCACAACGCCTGAAATTGTGGTCGTGTTTCCACTCACTTTGACAGACTCATTCATTTTCCAATTTTGTGAAAACGATACCAACGCGTTTCAAATATAAACAGTTTTGACATTAATTTTATCTGTCCATCGTAATCTTTAACAAACATGGGAATAAAGAGCCGTGTTGATCGAATGTCCTTGTACGGAACCCTCTCTAGGTCGTTCTCATTCGGGGGGACGATAAGACCATATGTTGATTCCTTTGTCTGAATCTGTGTCAATCAACTGACCGGAAACATCTTGGATAGTGTGGAATAACACGAACATCGATATTGGGATGGCTATACCGGTGCAGGGTCAAAGGACAAACGTAACAGTGAAATCAACTTTGAAGTGGCTATATGATTTTAAGGCCTTGGTAACACGCCTCCGAGTGAGCGAGAGGCAGGTTTTCGAGTGACTGAGTGAATAGGTAGCTGTGTTGGTAGCTGTGTTGGAGCTGATTGAGCAGGTGTTAACGATTCGGAAAATAGAAACACAGTTGGCTTTTGATCGTGTCGTGTGGTGGTGTCGTGTAATTGGTGACGTGTTGGAGGTGACGAGTTGGTTGTGACGTGTTGACGGTGACGTTGTGGCGAGTTGGTGGTGACGTGCTGACGGTGACGTTGTGACGTGTTGGTGACGTGTTCCTGGTGACATATGTTGTTGGTGACACGCTGACAGGCCGAAGTCCCAGGCTGGCCCTGGCCGAGACCCTACAGAATTCAGTCTTTAGTATTTTATTCAGTTTCGTTGTACTAAAAGATTACAAAACATGGTAACTCGCACAATAATATATATATGCATTATGTATCCTTACACGGGCCATTCCGCAGAACCCTGAGCAATCTGTATACAAATACTGAGCACTTTTACAGCTTTTGGCAAAGGATTTATGTTCTATACATGTTTCCATACATTGTAGCACTGTAACCAGAGCTCTTCCCTGATAAAACAGGGTACGAAGCAAAAGCTCTGTGAGATAATGACATTACATAAATCCTGCACGCTGGCGAGAGTCTGACAGTTCTCCTAAACACGCGACATAGCACTCCTTATCAGGACCGAATCCTACTTCGCCGAAGAAATTTATATTTCGTTCAAACGACACTGTTGTTTTGACAGGATACCACTGGCACTGGCCTGACTGGTTGTATCCGCTAATATGTCTGAGTGTATTCTCCGCCAGAAGAGAAGGTGACGTGGACGCGTGGTCTCTGAGACGGCAGTAAAGGGCGATCGGGAATATTTAACGGCCGCTTCTACGAGCATTGGCGTCGTTTCCCATTAATTGTGTTAATTTTAGGGTCCTAATGTGTGATATTGTGAGTGCGCTTTTGATAGAACTATGAGCCTAGGATTGCGACAATGTATTCTTTGGCACTTACGACAATATATAGTTTTTTTCTCGCAAAAGAACTACTTTTAAACAGCCCGAAGCATAACCATTATTTTCAAGCATTTTCCGAGACGATGTATTTTCCCGACACTTTGAATGGCCGATGGCTTTCACTGTCTGTATGTTGCATGTATGCATATGGTAGTCATTGTGAGTGTAACAAGGTGTTCACTCGTTCTATACTGCACAAACGCCTAAGATAGTTTCTGTGTGCGAGACAAGGTGCGTCCACGCTCTATGTTGCACGTATGCTTTGGGTGGTTCCTGTGTGCGAGACAAGGTGCGTCCTCGCTGTATGTGCACGTATGCTTAGGGTGGTTCCTGTGAGATATTCAGGGTGTGTCCTCGCTGTATGTTGCACGTATGCTTTGGGTGGTTCCTGTGTGCGAGACAAGGTGCGACCACGCTCTATGTTGCACGTATGCTTTGGGTGTGTCCCGCTGTATGTGACGTATGCTTTGGGTGGTTCCTGTGTGCGAGACAAGGTGTGTCCTCGCTGTATGTTGCACGTATGCTTTGGGTGGTTCCTGTGTGGTGTGTCGAGACAAGGTGGACCACGCTGTGAGAGACAAGGTGCGTTGCACGTATGCTTTGGGTGGTTCCCGTGAGAGATTCAGGTGTGTCCTCGCTGTATGTTGCACGTATGCTTTGGGTGGTTCCTGTGGCGAGAAAGGTGCGACCACGAGACAAGGTGCGACCACGCTGTATGTTGCATGCGTGGTCCCCGTGACGTATGGTGTGTTTGGGTGGTTCCTGTGGGAGAATCGTATGGGGTGTCTCCTCGCTGTATGTTGCACGGATGCTTGGGTGGTGCCTGTGGGAGATTCAGGGTGTGTCCTCGTAATGGATTCTTTGGGTTTCCTGTGAGATTCAAGGTGGCTGTATGTTGCACGTATGCTTTGGGTGGTTCCTGTGAGAATCAAGGTGTGTCCTCGCTGTATGTTGCACGGATGCTTTGGGTGGTTCCTGTGAGAGATTCAAGGTGTGTCCTCGCTGTATGTTGCACGCATGCTTTGGGTGGTTCCTGTGAGAGATTCAAGGTGTGTCCTCGCTGTATGTTGCACGGATTCTTTGGGTGGTTCCTGTGAGAGATTCAAGGTGTGTCCTCGCTGTATGTTGCACGTGTGCTTTGGGTGGTTCCTGTGAGGGAGACAAGGTGTGTCCTCGCTGTATGTTGCACGTGTGTGGCAGGTGTATTTTAGTGTAAATATAGTATTTTAATCATATTATTATTCTCTCCTTTTAGCTTTATTATTTCTAGGCAGTTTAAGGGTTAAGCTTTAGAGCTTGGCCTGTCTCACTAATTGCCCAAGCCATGACGCTTCTCGGCTGATTGGTCTCATTAACTCCATGCACAATTTCACTCATTCTGCACTGACTCTCTGCCACGTAAAGACAGCTTGGATAGACACACAGCGTGACATTAAGGTTAGTATTCATTTAATTAAAGTAATATTGCATTTAATCCTTGCAGTATTTATATAATAAACGTATATCTATTTACTATCATTTAAATAGGTATTATATTGTATAGCATGTAAGTGTGCTAAATGTATTTATGCTAGCTTTTCAAGCCTAAGGTATAAACATAAATAAGTATCACTAATATATTCTTATCTTTACTATCCCTTTCACTGAATGTGTGAGATGAGAGAATGTGTTTTAATATAAGTTGCTATGTTTTAACTGTGATAACTATAAGTGTAATTATCAATGTGTGGAAATAATTTTATGTTCATGAATGTAGCAGCCCTAAATCTACTCCACATTACAGTGTATATTATTTATCATCTAATATTATTTGCAGCAGATAAGTCCCCGTCCATAAGACTGGTGCTGTGCCCGATTGTTGTACACCCTTGTACCACCCACAGGGTATGTGTATATGTATAATATATATATCCATGTATTTGTATATAGTACCATCACGTAATGCGTGGTGACGAATCATGTGTATTTTATCATTACGACTAATGCGTAATGGTGTATTATTATCTATCTTCTGTGTATTACATTGTATGCATGTATTATCATTACGTTATTCGTAATGCTGTAATATCATAATGCCCATATTCCATATGTGTAGTAAGTAATGGTATTCATGCTTTGAGTAACTACAGTATTATTGGTAATTGTCCATATGTATTAACCCGTGTATGGAATGATATGTATCTTGTATGAATTGTGTGAGATGTATATAATATTATTATATTTATTGTTACAGGGTGTCGTTTAACATTCAGCAATGTTTCATCCTACGAAATAAACAACCTCACACCCCAGCAGAGTGTTGGTAGTCTATGGCCACGTTGACCCTGCTATACGTGTGCTTTGGGAGGTGTCTGTGAGGGAGACAAGGTGTGTCCGCACTGTATGTTGGACGTGTGCTTTGGGTGGTTCCTGTGAGGGAGACAAGGTGTTCCTTCTCTGTATGTAGTATATATGCATTGGATGGTTACTCTCTTCACGATATTTAAACATACAATAGTAGTGTGCGAGTGTCTAAGCGAGCGTGCGTGCGTGCGTGCGTGCTTGCGTGCGTGCGTGCGTGAGTTTTCACTGTTTCATATATGTAGAGTGTGTGACAGCGAGAGAGACAGCAGGTGGGCCATGTACGTCACAGTACTGGTTTACAGCACGTGGGCCATATACATCACAGTACTGGTTTACAGCACGTGGGCCATATACATCACAGTACTGGTTTACAGCACGTGGGCCATATACATCACAGTACTGGTTTACAGCACGTGGGCCATATACATCACAGTACTGGTTTACAGCACGTGGGCCATGGCCGTCACAGTACTGGTTTACAGCAGGTGGGCCATGGCATGTACGTCACAGTACTGGTTTACAGCACGTGGGCCATATACATCACAGTACTGGTTTACAGCACGTGGGCCATGTACCGTCACAGTACTGGTTTACAGCACGTGGGCCATGTACATCACACTGTACTGGTTTACATGCACACAGGCCATGTACAACACGTCCATGTACAGTACTGGTTTACAGCAGGTGGGCCATGTACGACGTCACAGTACTGGTTTACAGCACGTGGGCCATGTACGTCACAGTACTGGTTTACAGCAGGTGGGCCATGTACGTCACAGTACTGGTTTACAGCACGTGGGCCATATACATCACAGTACTGGTTTACAGCACGTGGGCCATGTACGTCACAGTACTGGTTTACAGCACGTGGGCCATGTACGTCACAGTACTGGTTTACAGCACGTGGGCCATATACATCACAGTACTGGTTTACAGCAGGTGGGCCATGTACGTCACAGTACTGGTTTACAGCACGTGGGCCATGTACGTCACAGTACTGGTTTACAGCACGTGGGCCATGTACGTCACAGTACTGGTTTACAGCACGTGGGCCATGTACGTCACAGTACTGGTTTACAGCAGGTGGGCCATGTACGTCACAGTACTGGTTTACAGCATGTGGGCCATGTACGTCACAGTACTGGTTTACAGCAGGTGGGCCATGTACGTCACAGTACTGGTTTACAGCACGTGGGCCATGTACGTTTACAGTACTGGTTTACAGCACAGTACTGGCCAGCAGGTGTACGTCACAGTACTGGTTTACAGCAGGTGGGCCATGTACGTCACAGTACTGGTTTACAGCAGGTGGGCCATGTACGTCACAGTACTGGTTTACAGCAGGTACTGGGCACATGTACGAAACAGTACTGGTTTACAGCACGTGTACGTCACAGTACTGGTTTACAGCACAGTACTGGTTTACAGCAGGTGGGCCATGTACGTCACAGTACTGGTTTACAGCACGTGGGGGCCATGTACGTCACAGTACTGGTTTACAGCACGTGGGCCATGTACGTCACAGTACTGGTTTACAGCACGTGGGCCATACGTACGTCACAGTACTGGTTTACAGCAGGTGGGCCATGTACGTCACAGTACTGGTTTACAACATGTGGGCCATGTACGACACAGTACTGGTTTACAGCACGTGGGCCATGTACGACACAGTACTGGTTTACAGCACGTGGGCCATGTACGACACAGTACTGGTTTACAGCACGTGGGCCATACAGCACGTGGGCCATATACGTCACAGTACTGGTTTACAGCACGTGGGCCATATACGTCACAGTACTGGTTTACAGCACGTGGGCCATATACGTCACAGTACTGGTTTACAGCAGGTGGGCCATGTACGTCACAGTACTGGTTTACAGCATGTGGGCAATATACGACACAGTACTGGTTTACAGCACGTGGGCCATGTACGTCACAGTACTGGTTTACTGCATGTACAGCAAAGGGTATGCATAATATACTAAGCAGCAAAAGAAACGTCAGTTTGGATATTTCCTACGCAGAAGCGGATAACTGTAAATTCATCTAATGTTTTGATTGTATATTTTTGACAACATCTCCAACTTGAAATGTTGAAACATTCACATTACAACGTCAGCAGGATGCCGCGGCTCACGACAGCTTAGAGGAACCAGGCGCTAGGAAGACTTGAAGCTGGCCACACTGCACAAGCCTTTGACAATCGCTTCCAGGTCAACGTTCGGACCATCTACAGGCTGCAGCAATGTTTCCGGGCCACCATCACCACAAATGGTCGCCCCCGTACTGGCAGACTAAGGATGACCACAAGACGACAAGACCGCCATGTTGTGCGACAGCATGTACAGAATCCCGTCATGCAGGCATCCGAAACAGCACGCCAGACAGTGGGAACACACGGAAGACCAATCAGTACTGATACAGTACGCCGACGTCTTAACAGCGGGAACCTCCATTGCAGTAGACCTTACCGTGGACCTGTCCTCACCCCTCGTCATCGGCGTGAACGTCTACAGTTTGCCCTACAACACCAAAACTGGCGATACAAGCAATGGAGAACTGTTCTGTTCACAGATGAGAGTCGGTACTGCGTATCAAATGCAGATGGCAGAACAAGACTATGGCGACGACGTGGCCAGCGTTACTCAGACCAATGTGTTATGGAAAGAGACTCATGGGGAGGTGCAAGCATCATGGTATGGAGTGGAATAGGCCTGAACCAGAGAGTGGGTCCTGCGGTGTTCCAGAATCTTGGTCCATGGAGAGGAGGCGGCATCACAGCGGTGCGCTACATCGACCAAGCTCTCAGACTCCACGTCATACCACATTTCGCACGTCACCAGAACAACATTTTCTAGCATGATAACGGCCGGGCCCACACTGCCAGAGCTACACAGGACTTCCTACAGCAGAACGGTGTCAATATTATGCAGTGGCCAGTCCTTAGTCCTGATTTAAACCATAATTGAACATCTTTGGGTTGAAATTCAGAGGAGACTGAATAATGTCATACCAAGGCCGAACACAGACGATTTACTGCGCCAGGCCTTTCTTAGAGTGTGGTTCCAGGTGCCAGTGGCCTTCATCAACCGATTGGTGCACTCCATGCATAGACGCTGTGCTGCAATTATTGCCGCTCGTGGTGGTCACACTAGACACTGAAGTCAAGAGTCTCAATGGACTGCAAACGTTCACGTAATGTCTTGAAATTGTGCTGAGTCATTCATTGATGTGTCAAGATATTGTACACAAAAATGTTTTTGGTCTTATTATGTCAATTTCTGTAATGATTTGATTACAGTGCCTGTCTAATTTTGAATTCGTACTGACGTTGTTTGGGGTTTTTTTGCTGCTGAGTATATAATCTTCGGTCTAGGCAGATGAAACAGCAGCATTCATGTGGTCGACATTGAGCTGCGTCCACCTGATGAAGCGACCATAAAATACCTGTTACATGTTTCAGGTGGATGGAGAGGACACTGGAGGACGACAATGAACCACGATGCCCATACGCGTAAGAAAATAGCAGCTGCCTTGCGCAGTTGGCTCATAATGTTTAGGGTTAATATGAAAATCCCATTGAACTTATTATGTTTATTGGGAATTCCAAAACAAGCAATAGTCCTTCAAACAGCAAGGCTGACAAGATCTAGAAAAAACTATTGACTTGTGCTATGGTAATGTGAAAGACGCCTACAAATCTTTTGTAAAGGCTCCGATGGGGACCTCTGATCACAATACTGTTTATTTAGTTCCTTTATATTGTCAAAAATTAAAGTCAGTCTTAAATATGTAAAGTCATGGACAAAAGATTGTTTAGAGCAGTTGAGAGGATGTTTTGATTGTACAAACTGGGATATGTTTGAACATACTAGTGATAATTTGAATGATTTTACAAAAACTGTACCTGATTATATAAATGTGTAGAAATCACTGTGCCCGTCAAATGTATTAAAATATACACTGTTCCTAAAAACAAGCCTTGGGTAAATAAAGAGTTCAAATCAGTTTTAAATGAAAATAAAAAAGCTTTTTGTGCAGGGGACAAGGTCAAGGTTAAAGAGATTCAGAAAGAGATTGCTTGTTTAATAAGGAAGTGTAAAGGTGTATACAAAACAAAGACAATTTTCTGTAAACAATTTACGTAATGCAAGGAGTGGCATAAAAACTATCATTGAATCAAATATTATATCTCGACAGTTGGAATCCACCGACGACTTATCTTTTTCAAATGAGTTAAACTCATTCTACTCCCGATGTGATACTGGAAATTTTTCAGATAAAAGGAATCTTGTATTGGAATCGCTTCCACCTTGTGAAATATTAAATATATTGACAGATGATGTGATTAATTCATTCGTTAAATCCACATAAATGTTGCTGGCCTGATAACTTGTTTGGGATTGTTCTTAAGGAATGTAGAGTGCAACTGGCTGTTATTTTTCAAAAGCTATTTCAGATATCAATTATTTCTCATAATGTTCCCATTCTTTGGAAAACCTCTAAAATTGTTCCATTGCCAAAAAAGAAAAATCCGTCTGTTATAATGACTTGAGACCAGTGGCCCTAACCTCTATTACCATGTTTAAAACGCATTGTTAAGATCTTATTGTTGAATGAAATCAGCCATGTTCTCCACCCATTACAATTTGCATACAGAACAAAGCGTGGGGTAGATGATGCAACAATCACTCTGTTAAACAATATCTATAAGCATTTAGAAAACTATGGTACTTATGTTTGTTGATTTTTCATCTGCCTTTAATACTATTCAACCTCATTTGGTAATTGATAAACTCAAAACGAATGTTAATTCTAACATCATCAAATGGAATAATTCATTTCTAGTTAACAGACAACATTTTGTACAGGTTAATAATGTGAAATCATCAATTGTAAACACATCAACTGGCGCTCCACAAGGTTGCGTTATTTCACCAATTGTTTA